CAGCCTCCAATTCCTGCGCTCAAGTGATCCTCCTGCCTCAGCCTCCTGGGTAACTGGGACTACAGGCATGTGCCACCATGCCCGGCTAATTTATTTATTTCCAAACGCCTGACCTCATTTGATCCTTCCACCTCGGCCTCCCAAAGTACTAGGATTACAGGTGTGAACCGCCAGGCCCAGCCAGATTTGACTATCTTATATTTATCTCTCTGATTTCTCAGAAGGTTAGATAAACAACTTAGTTTCGGTTTGGTGACCTGGAACTTTGGCATGACTAACATGTTGGTTTGATGTGTTGGGGCTTAGTGCAGGAACTCAGTTCAAAATAATGGGCCCCTATAAGTTGTGTGTAACACATCCCATACACAAATTCGACTCTTCCCACATCCAATCTTCCTCCTGTGTCTCTGTCCCTCTCTCCCCGCTATCGAAACCAGAGGTCATGGACTCCCCTCTTCGCATCTTCTTCTCCTCTTCACCTCCCTCCCTCCACCACCCACAAGTGCCTCCTCCCTCCTACATTTCTCCTTATTCTGAGCACTTCTTACCCCCTCCTTATCCCCCACCTGATCCTGGTCCCCTTCTTCACTGCCTGAACTAGTGCAGCTGCTTCGCCCACAGCAGTCTGAAGGAGTTTCTAAAAACATTAGATCAGGGTTGGGTGTGGTGGCTCACGCCTGTAATCCCAGCACTCTGAGAGGCCAAGGAGGGAGGATTGCTTGAGCTCAGGAGTTTGAGACCAGCCTGAGCAAAAGCGAGACCCCCGTGTCTACTAAAAATAGCCAAGTGTCATGGTGCGCACCTGTAGTCTCAGATACCTGGGAGGCTGAGGCAGGAGGATCCCTTGAGCCCAGGAGTTGGAGGTTGCAGTGAGCTAAGATGATGCCAGTGCACACTACCCAGGGCAACAGAGTAAGACCCTGTGTCAAAAAAAAAAAAAAAAAGAAAGAAAGAAACATTGAGTCAGATCATTACTGCCCTGTTTGAAAGCTTTTTAGGAGGCAGGAAAGCATCCTGGAGGAAGTGGTATTTGCACCAGGTCTTGAAAGATGAAGAGTGGACCATGGGAGGGGGAGGAAGTGGGAGGAACAGCGTTTCAAAGGGACAGAATAGCAAGTGAAAGAGACTCAGCAGGGTAGGAATAGCCAGGAGGCCATGGTGGGTGGAGAGTGGGGCTCATGGTGCCAGAGATGAGATTAGGCAAAAAGGCAAGGCTGGAAGTCAGACCCGGAAGGACTCTACCAGCCTTCTTCAGCAAACTCCTGGGCAGTGGGCTTGAAGCCTTGCATATTCTAGCCCAAACCCCCCTCACCCCCCCCACCCCCGCCTGTTAGCCACTCAGATTTCTGTGGCAGCCAGGTGAGATCACCCTTTGCTCTCACAGTGTCCTCCTCCTGGAATGGTCTCCCTAGTAAATTTCATCCTTCTTAGAAAACCAACTCAAGGCCAGGTGCGGTGGCTCACACCTGTAATCCCAACACTCTGGGAGGCTGAGGTTGGACGATCACTTGAGGTCAAGAGTTCGAGACCAGCCTGAGTAACAAGTGAGACCCCCCCATCTCTACTAAAAATAGAAAAAAATAGGCCGGGCGTGGTGGCTCATGCCTGTAGTCCCAGTTACTTGGGAGGCTGAGGCAGGAGGATCACTTGAGTCCAGGAGTTTGAGGTTGCAGTGAGTTATAATGATGCCACTGCACTCTAGCTGGGGCGAAAGAGTGAGACTCTGTCTCAAAAAAAAAAAAAAAAGAAAGAAAAAAGAAAATCAACTCAAATGCCACCTCCACCAGGAAGCCTTCCTTGCTCCTGTCTCTGTCACTGCACCTCCCAACACTTCTCATAGTGATAATAGTAGTATTAATAGTAATGATGGCCCAAGTGTATTGTGTGCTTACTGAGAGGCAGGCACTGTGCTGAGTGTTTAAAGCCACATTAACTCCCCACAGCACCATGAGGACAGGAAGGGGTGGTGGGGTATCAAACCCATTCCTGTTGGCCGGGCACGGTGGCTCACTCCTGTAATCCTAGCACTTTGCGAGGCCGAGGCAGGAGGATTGCTTGAGCTCAGGAATTCAAGACCAGCCTGAGCAAGAGAGAGACCCCGTCTCTACTATAAATAGAAAGAAATTAGCCAAACAACTGAAAATAGAAAAAATTAGCCGGGCACAGCAGCGCGTGCTTGTAGTTCCCGCTACTCGGGAGGCTGAGGCAGGAGGATCGCTTGAGCCCAGGAGTTTGAGGTTGCTGTCAGCTAGGCTGACACCACGGCACTCTAGGCAGGGCAACAGAGTGAGACAGAGGGGCAACAGAGTGAGACTCTGTCTCAAAAAAAAAAAATCCCTGTTTTCCAGATACAGGAACTGAGGCCACAGAGCTTGAGTGGCCTGTTCCTGGTCCCCCAGGAGTGGGATGTGATTTAGAGTTCTAGCTCTGGGATCCTCCTGCCTCACCCTCCTAAGTAGCTGGGACTACAGGCATGCACCACTGCACCTGGCCAATTGAAAAAAAAATTTTTTTTTTTTGAGAGAGTGTCTCACTATGTTGCCCAGGCTGGTCTAGAACTCCTGACCTCAAGCAATCCTCCCACCTCAACCTCCCAAAGCGCTGGGATTACAGGCATTACAGGCATGAGCCACCACACCCAGCACATCTCTCAACTCTGGTCTCCCAGTTTAACAAAGCACAGATGCACGCTTAGGCCCTTCAGAAAGCAACAGTGTGTGGCTGGAATTTTTTCCCACCCATTTCATTGTGAAAAAATTTGAAACATTCAGCAAAATGGAAAGAATTATACAGAGAACACCCATAGCCCCACCGCCTAGATTCCACCATGAACATTTTGCTTTTATCACATACCCATCCCTCTATCCACCCATCCATCATGTTATTTTCTGGTGCATTTCAAAGAAAATTGCAGACAGCTGTCCCCATCACCTCCAGACAATTCAGCGTGCATGTCATTCAGGAGAGATCAATACTGCGTAAGGCTCTTTCCGAAGTTTGTTATCTTTTAAGGTAAAATTTGTATACAGTGAAATACACAAATCTTAAGGGTACAGTCTGCTGAGATAAAGACAGACACCCGAATGATCCACTTGTCTCGAGGTTCAGAATGTCAGGGTCACTTCAGAAAGTTCCCTCATTCCCCTTCCCAGATAGTCCAT